GGAGGGACAGCGCAGGAGGGGGAGACCCTCTATAAGGTGGATTGATTCAGTGACTAAGGTAATCAGGATGGGTGTTTTGGAGGCAGTGAGATTGACACAAGATAGAGCAGGGTTTAGGGCTGTTGTACATAGGGTCGCTAAAAGTTGCAAGCGACTTGACAACACATAACAACAACAACAACAACAACAACAATGTATTTTGACAAGACTGAAATATCAGAAGTATAAATATTAAACAGCAGAGCTAGGTTTTACATTACTTATAGTTGATAACCCAAGGTAGCTCTGGTGCCTCCTGAATCCATTGGCTGCTCTGGAAGAAAGATGGCAGTCATCTCCTATGTGATTTGTTGTTGTTGTTGATTGCCATCATGTCGAGCGTGACTCATAGCAACTCTATGAACAAAAGACTTAATGCCTCCCCATAACTAGTCATTTCTCCAAGTTGATAAGAGTTTCCAGAGGCATGTGGTTTAGAAAATGGATGTCACTCCTGCTTCCAAACCCATCCTAGAACTGGGAGCTCCACCAACCACTCTCCACAATGGGAAACCATTTTGGTATTTGATACCCCAATGACACAAGGTTCAGCATCACAGCAAACCCAGGTTACTTCATACAGCACATTGACAAAGACTGATGTCAAAGTGGAAGAATGTTCCTCTAGATATAACAGCACTATTCTCATTTAGCAGTGGTTAAGTGTTGTAGAGTCAAATACGACTCAGAGTAAGCTTTACACAAAAGACCTGAACTCTGTTCTATAACTAACATCATTTCTGCACATTTATAGAGTTTAGAGAGTTTGCAGAGTTTCCAGAGGCATTTAGTTTAGGAATTGTGTCCCGCTCCTGCTTCTCAACATGAAACAATCTGGAAGCTCATCCAAACATCGCACATAATGGGTAACCGTTATGGTATTTGACAAGACTATGGCACAGTGTTCAGCATCACAGCAACTTCAAGTTGTTCAGTACAGCAAATAGACAAATGATTGCTGTGTCATTTAGAGAATATTCTTTCTAATATTAATAAATTTGGTCCGATGGCCACAGGCCTGAGGGCCCTACAGGACTTTAAAGCCACATTCTCTAGCAGGCATCCACCCTTGGTAAAAGGATCAAGGGCTACCTGCTTTTTTTTGGAGGGGGGGTGGAGAGGACAGTCACACACATCAAACACAAACCCCAAAATTTACAAACTCTGAAAACCTGCTGGAAGTTCACCTATGAGTTGGTTCTGTCTTTACAGCAATGAAAGAGAAAGGAGAGAGAAAATCTGAGAGTCAATTGAAAACTATTACAGTTGATATGTGATGAAGTAGTAAAATTGTAAGGCAAAAAAGATTAATTTCTATAGCACTTACAAAGACAGATCTCCCAAGGAATAATTTAAAAAGAAGTGCTCAATATCTATGTGAAGAAGACAATTAAAATGCTATGGAGGGATATAATTGTTGTTGTAATTGAGCCATAGCAGGTCCTCCAGTGAGATTTCAGAGGAACTTGGAGAAAGGATGAAAGTCACGCAAGTGTCGAGGACTTTCATTCATAGGGTTGCTATGAGTCATGTATGACTTGATGGCACTCAACAAGAAGCTAGTCTTATAAATGACAAAGGCAAGGGGAAGAATATATAGAGAGCTTACAACTTTGTTGTTGTTGTTAGGTGCCATCGAGTAGTAAACGACTCATAGCGGCCCTATGAACAAAAGACCTGAGCACTGTTCATAGAGTTTCCAGAGGCAAGCATTTCAGAAGTGGATGCCACTCTTGCTTCCAGGCTTGTTTTAATCGGGGAGCTCCACCAAACACTGCCCACCATGGGTAACCATATCGCATTTGACACATCAGTGTCACAGTGTTTACCATCACAGTAACCACAAGTTACCTCTCTAAAGCAATGCACAGACCGGTGCTATACCACCTAGAAGAATGTCTGACAAAAAACCAATTTGAACCAGGCCCGACAGCCTGTGGCTCTTGGGCCCTTTGGGGATTTAAGCCACCACCTGCCTTAAACCCTAGGCCAAGCCCCAAGGGCCTCGCTTCTGGGGGGAATGAGCAGTACTGCACATCAAACACAAGCCCCAAAAAGCACACGGCCCCTAAAACTTGCGACTGCTTGTACATGCAGACCACCAGGCACAGGCACCAAGAAACTAGAGAGACCCACAGTGGAGTCATCCAGGAACAACCTGGATGTATATTTGCTTGAATATGCATGGATTATCTGTGGCAAAAGATAAAAAAATAGCAACACTGGTGACTTCCAGAAACAGGATTCAGTGGCTGACAGGCATTTCACTGTTCATTTCTGATATTTGTTAATTTTGAACTATAAGAACAAACTGTCTCAAAAAAAGGAAATACATAAAGTTAAAACTAAGAAAGAAAAAGAAAAGCCAATTTACTATCATTTAAATGAGTGCCACTTTGGTTTTCCCTCATAAAAAGGATCCCAGAAGTAAGTCCTAGAAGTCGCTGACAAGTGGGTCAAGTGTTCAGTGATGCGCGAGATGACCAGGCTTTTCCTATTTTCCAGGTCCTGCGTACTTAGAGGATTCTATTTTTATGCCCGTGGTGATTCCTTCATGATGGCAAAATAGCTGCCATAGCTCAGGCACCATGCCCTCACATAAACATCCTCCAAACAAGAAAGAGGTGGGAGCAAAGAACACAAACTTTCACTTAAGTGAAGTTCTTTTAAATTCAGCGATTTCCTTGGACATTCCCCGACATTTCACTGTCAGAAGGAAGCCAGATCAGATGCTTTCCTGGTCAACCTTAAATAACCTACCCACTAAGCTGGGTCAGACGCCTGGGGTATGTGTTTTGCAGCCACATCTTGATGAACCCCAGCAGCAGACGTCTTAAAATTAGACCCACAACAGTGGCCTTTTATGGAAGGAGGAGTCAGCTGGCAGCAGCTCTCCTAACAATCCTTCAAGCAAAGATCCTCTGTCCCAGGCTGCATGATAGAGCAAGTCTAAAGAACCAAACATTTACTAAGAGGAGTGCTTGGAGACGTGTAAAGTTCTTTTGGGGAAAGAAATTTTAGGAAAGTAAAAAGAGGTGGGAGGAATCATCTGAATGCCTCTTGAACTGAAGGATGTTCTTTTAAATATTAAACTTTGCTAACATGACGTTGAGCTTTGTTTTCCCTCATTTTACGTCTAATGTACACATCTTTAGGTTCACAGAACATTCCTTCACTTTGTTGTGACTGGAGGTTTGAGAACTGCAACCTAAGTTCTATGGGAGATGAAATCTGATTATTAGAGAAAAAGTCTATTCTATCTGTTCAAATAAATTCTGTAAGGATGTGGCTGGCATATGAAGCCTTTAATCCAAGAGGTCTTTTCTTGGAGTCAGATTAACTAGGTACAGATTCCATCCAGCTTTGCCATTTGTGGCCAAACAGGGAAAATTGCTTTTTTGCCGTTCCCTCAGTTTCCTTTTCCATAAAATTAGAATGACATTAATCTATGCATCAGCAAGTTGGATAATGAATAAAGAAGACCAAAGAAGAAGAATCGATGCTTTGACTTGTATTGTGGGCGGAGAAGATGGAATAGCTCAAGGTCTGCCAAACAAACAAATCAATCTGTCTTGAAGAAGTGTAACCAGACTGCTCTTTAGGGGCAAGGATGGTGAAACTTCATCTCACTTACCTTAGGCATATTCTCAGGAGGAACTAGTCTTTGGAGAGAGGCATCATGCTGGGAAAGGCAGAGAGAAGGTCAATCAATGCAAGAGATGAAGACCCTCAACAAGATGGACTGACCCAGTGCCTACCGCAGTGGGCTTGAGAGTGAGGGCGCTGCAGGGTAGGTGAGGTTCAGAAATGTACATAGTGTCACTGTGACTCACAGTTGACTCAACGGCACCTAACAACATTAGGTGGTTGTCAATTCTATAAAGCATTTAAAACACTGCCTGGCACATTGCCAGTTATCAACGAGTATTATCTGAACTCCTTTATAACAGACTATGTAACAGTGTCTTTGTGGGATTAGCTATTGTTTTAGCTGTTCCCTTCCCCCAGTTGCATACTATTTCTATATAAATCTCAAAAGAAGAAATAATCTGAGTCACAAACTCCCTTTTATTTGCATGTGGTTACAGTTTATAAATACACTTGCTATTTCCTCCCCCTACAAAATTCTCCCCAAGTAACCCCACTCAAACCCCAGTTTTTCAATGAGTCCTTTTCCTCTCATTCAAGAGACTGGCAGTGGAGGTCCCCCTTACACATACACCCTGCCCTTCGCATCAGGGATACCTCAGTCTACGCGCAGTGCGGGCTCTTGTAGAGCCTCTGAAGCTTGGGGATGAGCACCATGAATCTTTCAGAGGTCCTGGTGATGTCCTTCCAAGTGACCTGCGCTGGCCTCTTGAATTAGGTTTTAGAGTGCCATGTGACAGCAGTTGGCACATCTGCTCTGTCAGGGCCTGAAGCTGGGCTGGTGCAGCCCATTGGGCAGGTGAGTCTGTGGTGCAGGCTCAGCTTTACCTGGCAGCAGTGAGAGTCTGTACAAGACGCTGTGCCCAGCCTGTGTCTGGCACTGCTCTCGACAGTGTCTGAGGCCTGGCTTTGGAGGACTCTGCCTCTCAGGGATCTTGCCCAGGTCCTCTGTGAATCCTGTGAAGGAAGCCAGCCTCAGGGAACAAGGTGCTCTGTGCCTTCCTTCTTCTTCTCCCAGATACCACCAAGCATGGGTCAGAGATTGTCTTCTTGGCCCTGTCAGAGGGGATAGTGCTCACGTGTTTCTGTTTCAGCCAAGTGCCAAGCTTTGCCATCTTCTTGATGGGGGACAGAGAGGATAGGAGGGCCAGGGGCACCCTCTTCTGGGATGGGGTATGGAGGGTCTGGTGGAGGCTGGGGGTCCCCAGGGCCCCGAGCTCCTCCTAGTACTGGCCCATTGTAGATGTAGATATTGCCAGTGACAGTCATAGAGCCGCCGGTGACATGAATACCGTTGGTACCTGTGGCAAGAGGGGAAGAGTAAGGGCTCTGAGAGGTCACTGAGAAAGGAAGATCTGCAGCCTTTATTCTCCAGTCTTCTCTCCAGGCCTTCCTGGCCTCTCTCCCATGGCTACTGGTTTCCTGTGCTCCTATTTCTATCTGTTTCTGGGTGTTTTTGGTCTCTTCTCTCTCGTTGTGATGAGGGTCCCTGTCTTGCCTGTTTTGGCATTTTTCTTTCTATCTGGTACCTTCTCTCTCCCTGCCATTCATCTCTCTCGCTCTCCATCCTTTCACACCCCCTTAGTCCCAGCCTGCCCCAGGCTCACCATGGGTCAGTGGACCCTGCTCTTCGGGCTCAGCCTCAGGCTCCCTGGCCTGACTTGGAGGACTCTGCTGAAGTAGCACCGCATTCTCCAACACTGGGGGTGCTGGGTGCCTGGCTGGGGGCAAATCTTCAGGGCTGGGCAGAAGTGGCTGCACCAGGTCAGGGAAGTGTGGGTTGGTTCTCTGAGGTTCCCAGCTTGGAACATCATTGTGTTCCCCTCCCTGCAGAGAGAAACAAAGAACCAATCAATGATGTGGGCCTCGGATGCCATCTTTCTTTAATTCCCACAGGCCATCCCCTGCTTACGCAGCTCATTGCCCTCTTCCAATAAAGCTATCTGCCTTTGGACCTCTGTGCCTCTGCACTTGCCGGCCACCTTCTCCCAGACATCCCCATGGCTGGCCCCTTCACGTCTTTAGGTCTCTGATCAGGTACCAGCTTCTCAGAGAAACCTTCCTGTCCATTGTCTAAAACAACATATTCCACCCTCTGCCATACCCACTCCTTATCCCCTATCTTGCTTTATCTGGCAAGTATCACTACTAGATATACATTTATTTGTTTAACTTTATTCTTGTCCCATTAGAATGTAAAATCCAGAAGGGTAGGTAATTTGTTCCTTCCTGTTCTATTCTCAATATCTATTCAATGTTCTATTCATCTCCATGTTGTACTCTCTTGGTATGCTCAAGAAAGGACTAATAATGGATGAATAAACGGATGTTGAATGAATGAAGTCTCTGCACTTGGTCTCCGTGTACCCTCTCCCATCACCCTCTGCCCCTCCTTCCTGCCTTCTCAGCTGCCCCCATTACCTCTGGATGCCTCTTGAGCAGGAATCCTGCAATGGAAAATAAAATCGGGGTAGGATTTCCAGTAAGCCTAGGATGCCAACCTTTTACCCTGCACACCCAACCCCTATCCTGGCATCCCAGAAGGAAGAGGCTAACAGTACCCTCATCTCCAGCCCCACAATGAGGGGCTGGGTGAAGAAGATAATGATGTCTGTGTTGGGGGCAGGCAGTGGGAATCTTGACAGTATGGGGAGGTGGAAGACTCAGCACCGGGGAAGGTGCAATCCCCTCTTCCCTCCTCGCCTATCCATATGGAGACAGATGGTCCAGCCTGCCCCCTGCCTTTTTCCTACCCAGCTTTCTGCAGAGTGAGGAGTGGCTCTTCCAGGTGCAGGCTATAACAGTGGTGAGCAGGAGGGAGACCAGAGGCAGCAGGACGGCCAGCACCAACATGGTTCCTGCAGGGATGCAGAGGGGAGTGATGACAGCCTCGAGGACAGAGAAGGAAGTTAAGGAGGAGTTTTCTGGCTCTCTGGAGACTCACACAAAGGGAGCATTCTTCTTTAGCCTCACTGCAGTCTTTAAGAGGCAGAATCAAAGTTCTCTTAAATTGCAGATGGGGTGAACTAAGCTGGATATGGGAGAATGATACTTCATCCTGGACATGTCTGGGGTGATGCATGCACCCTCCTATGTAGGGAGCACGGGCCAGGGCCACCTTGAGGGTGAGGGACAAGAGCTTGTGCAAGTGGCTCTGAAGGGCTGGAAGTGGGGGTGGGAGGCAGTACCGGAAAGCTGGGGCTCAGGGTTGTAAACAGACTGGGCCACAGAGTAGAGTAACATGTCTGTAAATTTGATCATTTTGCAGAGGGGCCACTGGGAGATTTGGGATTGCCCTTCTCTTCTCAGTGGGGATGTTTCTAAGGGTGGGTACATGCGTTTCTTCGGAACTCTGCTCATGTCTGCCCTGGAAAGTTAGGGCACCCCTTTGCTCAGGGTAGAGTATAGCAGAATCTAAAAGGGGGAGGCTGGGAGTTCAATTTCTCAGGCCTTGAAGTAGCAAAGAGCTTTGGTGACCTAGTCCATAAGGAGACATGCTGTTAACCCAAAGGTAGCGCCTCTTTGGTGGTTTGAATCCACCGGCAGCTCCGGCGGAGAAAGATGGGCAGTCTCCTCCCATATTTCCATCCTTGGAAACCTGCCAGAAGGACAGCTATGGGTTGGTTCCGACTATGGAGATGAGTTAGAGTTTTTTTGTTTTTCTTTTTCAAGTGCAGCAGAAGAGGCGCTTGGGTGGGTAGTTTTTTTTTATTTTTTATTTTTTTTTTTTAAGCTACTTAGCTATTAAGCAAAAGACTGTTGGCTTTGAACCCACCAGCTGCTGCTCTACAAGGGAAAGACGAGACCGTCTGTTCCTGTAAAGGTTTATAGCCTTGGACACACTATGGGCAGTTCTATTCTGTCCCATAGGGTTGCTATGTGTCAGAACGGACTTGATGGCAGGGGGTTGGCTGGTTTTGACAGTAGCAGTGGGCTTCTGTCCTCTGATGGGTCAATGCTGCCATGGACACCTTCACACCTATCAGCCACTCCGGAGAAAGTCAGGAGGACTCAGACATTGGTACACAGTGAGTTTTGATCATTCTGATCCACCTAAATCAGTGGCCCAAAGTAGAACAGAGTGGGAGAAACTGGACTAGAATTCAGGATGGACGCCCGAGTTCCTGCCCAGCTGTGTAACTCAAGTCACTTCACCTCTCTAGACTCAAGTTTTTCATAAAGAAAAGGAAGGAATTGGCTTACATACAGTAAGATTCTAGCTCTTAAATGCAAGTAGTACTTGACATGTAGTTTAAAAGTACATAGAAAAACATTTCTAATATATTGTTGAACGAAAAGTCGGATTACAAAGCATTAAAATGACTCCACTTCTAAAGAAAAGAAAAGGTGTATTGTTTTACATAGAATGTTGGGGAGGATGTATAGAGCAAAATGTTAAACGTGTATACTGTGGCTTGACTAAAGACTTGAGTACAGTCTTAGCAAAACTAGTTACCACCTCACCGATCTTGGGCAAATTACTTAACCTCTCAGCCTCATCTAATCAATGTTGTTATTGTTGTTGTTAGGTACAGTTGAGCTGAGTACAATTCATAGTGACCTTATGAACAAAAGATCTGAACCCTCTTCTATCCTGTGCTATCCTCATACTTCCTGACACATAAGAGTCCATTGTTGCAGTCACCATGTCAATCCACCTGGTTGAGGGTCTTCCTCTCCTTTGCTGACCCTCCATCCTTCCTAGCATCATGTTCTTCTCCAAGGAACAATCCCTCCATGCCCAAAGTATGTGAGGCAAAGTCTCATCATTCTTGCCTCCAAAGAGCACTTGGGTTGCACCCTCTCTAAGACATATCTACTTGCTCTCTTAGCCCTCCATGGGATGTTCAGTGCTCTCCTCCAGCACCACTGCCTAAAGGTTTCAATTCTTTTTCTGTCATCCTTATTGTCCGGCTCTCAGATGCATAACAAGTAATCAGAATGACTATGGCCTGAATCAGACGTACCTTAGTCCTCAAACTGACATCATTACTCCTGAAATCAGTCCTGAATAATTTGGAGAGGTCCCTAACTGCAGATTTTCTCAGTACAATGTGTCTAATTTCCTGATTGCTGGTACCAAGGGTGTTAATTGTAGATCCAAGCAAAGTGAAGCTGTTAACATTTTCAATCTCCTCTCCGTCCATCATGATGTTGCCAATCAATCCACTGGTAAGAATCTTTGTTTTTTGTGACACTGAGATTCAACAATATGACTTTGAGATGCAACCATATGGGAGGCTGTATTCCTTGATCTTCTGCAACATGTTCTTTTCAATTACCTGTCAAATACTACTAGTACTTGAGAGCTGGAGTTTTAGAGAGTCTGTAAGCCAATTCCTTTCCTACAAAGTGAGAGTATACAATTTCTTCCTTTTTGTAGGATCATTAAGAGGATAAGAATTAAGTGAATGTAAAATGTTTCACTTCAGCTGCTCCTTGGGAGAAAGATGAGCAATCTCCAATTTATTGTCTCTGAAAACCCTCTGGAAGGTCCACTATGGGTCAGTATACAGTAACTACAAAGTGTTTCACTGCCTGAGACAATGGTTCCCAATAAAAGCAAAGAGCTGTGATTATCAATATTTGCTAATTTTAAAAAGTTAATAAAGCAAACTCTTCCCCTAGTTATTATTACAATCATTAGATTAGAAACATCCTGAAATCTTTTACTTGGCCAGGAAATCAGTTTAGAGAAATAACCAGGCCAGAGTCAAATGTGAGATAATGTCTACTAACAATGGAAGTACACAATTTAATAAAGAGGTATTCAATTTAGTGGATGGATTCTATGATGGGGTCATGTCTGAAATGCAGACAGTTATACCAGTTGTAACTACATCTTAGGGTGAGAGGCTCTCTGACATAATAAATGCCATTTGCAAGTTACATGTATATATATATTTTTTTCCATTTGAGTAAAAGTTTGCAAATTGTACCGGTTTTCTATTCCATCATTCATTTTGTTTTACAACATTAACATATAATTTTAGTGGGTGTAAATATGTGTATGTATGTGTGCATATATAAACTAGCCTAGATATTCGCCACAATTTCTCTTTATTGTAAATCTTTTTTTCCCCACCAAAATTTCTCTTCAAGGGACTTTTCTTCTTGCCTCAACTCTGAGTAGAAAGGATTCATCTTTACCTCATTTTTTTTCAATATGGAGAGAGTTAAGACTTGAGAGAACTAGCACATTTTCTCAGAGCAGACTGCCTTTGTGCCCTAAGCCCTTGCCCCTCACCTGGCATCTCTGAGGACGCCTCTGGTGGATCCTTGCAGCTAGTGTCATTCTGGGCTGTGCCTGGAGCTGCTTCCACCAGGCCCTGGTCTTCACACCTATGGAGAAAAGAGAGGCCTGTGACTTGCTCATGCTCCTGTCTGCTAGCGCCTCAACTCCAATGGAAGTGGCAAGGTGAGTGGAGGGGTCAAGTGTTGCGTGGTAAGGGTGTCAGCAGGTGAGGTAGGGGAGGGCAGGAAGGGAGAAGGTGAGACAACTCCATCTCTGGGGCAAAGGCATACTCAACCTTGTGTGGGGCTGGCAGTGGGCGCTGGGGGAGGATGTGTTTTGGAAGTAGCCTGCCTTACAAGGCACACAGTTGTTGTTGGTTTCCCTGTCACCACCTGGCAAGAGAAAGGCAGGGCAAGCCAGGTGAGTGGGCAGAAGGGAATCATCCTTTGTGCCCCATTAGGTGGCCTCTTCCTTGCCTATCCACTTTATTCTGTAGCTCTTACCCAGCCTGATCTTTGATCCATCCCAACGTGCCTACTTTTTGCCCAAGCTTCCCAGTGCTGAAGAGCACCTGAGTTCCCTGCACCTGTCTCGGCTCCATTTCTCTGCAGACCCTTGTGTGAGATTTCCCCGTGGCATGAGAAGAAGCATTTTACACCAAAGAGAACCACAAGTGGTGTCACCACCGGCAAGTACCATGCTCTCTGCTCCCTTCCTTCTTGCCCTCTGCCCTTAGTGACCTCTGACCTTTGGCCTCGACTTCGGTGCCAGGTGGACAGTGTGAGAGTGGCTCACACTGTGTACACTCAGAACTCCCATGGGTGCAGAACATTCCTGGCTGACAGCGGCACTGCGTATCCTGTGTACTTGTGCAAGGCATGACCTCTTCGAAGCCCATCACTGATGCGGGGACAGGAGGAATCAGCTTAATGGCTGTGAACCACGATACCCCAGCCCCCCTCTCCAGGTACATCCTACTCACCTTGGTCGCAGGGTCGACACATTTGGCATTTGGTGAGGTAGTTCCAGTGATTGTTGTAGGAATTTGGGGAGCACGAGGCGCAAATTGTGTCCCGGCTGCGGCTACACTGAGATTTGACATACTGGCCTAGGGCAGTAGAAGTGTTAGGAGACTGTCACCTCTAACAGTTGCTGTGTGACCTTAGGGTTGCCCCTCAGCCTCTCTGGACCTCCCCAGGATGGCCCTCCAGCTACTGCTCACTGAGGTATAAACACCTAGTGTGGTGAAGACTGCAAATTTTAGTGCCTGCATATGAGGCATGGCCTGTGTTCTGTCCCCTGGACTTCCCAGGAGACTGGCAGCCAGGGAGCTGGAGCCCCCAGGGGCCCATGTCCTAGTCCCTGGCTTCCTCCAGCCGGTGCAGCTCACCTGGAGGACAGCTGGAGCAGCAGACCTGGTAATCGAACTTGTAGTACTCCTTTTCCTGGTCCCGGCAGGTCCGGTTCTCCGAGTGGTATGGATACATCTTCACGAGGAGCAGTGCAAGTGAGGAAGAAGAATTTAGAGGCCAGTTTGGGTGGGCAGAAGAATTTAAAAAAGGGCTGCCTGGACCCCCTTCCCCGCCCTCACCAGCCCCACCCCGCCTGAACGGCTGGCTCACCAGTTGGGGCTGGGACGCTGCCAGGACCCCGCAGAGTCCTAGCACGAGTGGCCCCCAGGCCAGGCCATGGCGGGAGGTGGCCCGAGGCAGGCGCATGGCCGATCAGCTAGACGGGGAGGCCCCGGAGCAAGACGGGGATGGCCTGGCAGCGGTGGCTTAGCTTCCCGAGCCCAGGGGCTGGGACCGGACTCGGGCCGACGTGCCCCCGGGGGGCCGGGAGCGGCCGGGCCTGGCCTCTAGGCTCCAGCCGCCGGGCTCAGGAAGTGGGAGTGGAGCGAGGCCGGGGCGGGGACAGGGAGCGCTGGGAGCCGAGTCTGGCCGGCCTGTCGCAATCGCAATCGGGAAGAGGAACAGGCTTGGCTGCATCGACGCGGCCCGGAGGGGGGGCGGCCGGGAAAGCACGTGAGGGCCGCCGGAATGGGGCCTCCTCCCTTCTTCGGAAGCCTGGTCCGAAGGGAAGGCTTAGGGAGAGGCGAGATGCAGCTGGTGGGAAAGGGCAGCAGGGCTAGGGTGCAGCCTCAGAGGGGACAGAACCGGCCAGGACCTAGCAGTGGACAGCAGGGCGCAAAAGGCCAGATCTGGAAAAAGATGGGCCTGGAACTAACAAACATGGAGAGTGCGGGGAACAAAGACCCACCAACGGACGGTCACACTCTGCATGTGGGAACCACAAGTCCTAGCTGGAACTCTGAAGGCTCTGTTCCTTAAAAACAAGCCATTCAGGCCGGGCCTTATTTCCCACCCCTGCACCCTGCAGGGAACCAGCCAAAGCCCAGGTCACCTACACCCCTCCACAGCTACCATCCCTCCTAGAGGGACAATGAGGAAGATGTGTAGACCCAGTTCCTTGTGAGCAGGGGCCCACTGGGCCAGAGTGGGCAAAGGTCTCAGTCTCAGATCCCCCATCAAGGAACTTTTGAATCCCTTTGAACTGGAAGTAGCCTGAGATCTCACCCAGTCTAGCCAAGACTGAGGCCCAAGATGCCGTATGGGGAGACCACGATTGTAGGGTGGCTTAGCCTTGTGCCTGTGCACTTTCTTCCTCCGCCTCTTCTACCTGCTAACAGCCCCTCAGAGCTCTTTGCAATAATACCCTTAAGCTTCCTGGCTCTCTGGTTTCTAAGGTTCTGCACTCTTGGCTAAATTCCACCTTAGGAGTCCTGAGGACTCCTTCATGCTGTGGGAAGCAACCTCTGTCCCCACACAGACTCTTCTCTGTAATCTGTTCCTTATTATTGCCCAGCTGCTGTCCAGGCTGGGAGCTCTGTGAGGCCTGGACTGAATCTTTACTTCTCAGTTCTCAGTGCTTACTTAGCACAGAGGCTGGCATGTTTCAGGTACTCAAAACATATTTGGGGAATAAATGAATGGATGGATGATACTTTACCTAGGTCCCAGAGCGAGGACAGAACCAGTGTGTAATCAGGTTTCCTGAAGTCCAGTTGCTTCTCCGTGACTCATGATGTCTCTATTGGGGTTCAGGGGCTAACACATCCTCTTAAGACCGGTCACCTGGGCACTGTGCTCCTCCTGGTAGGACTTTGTTCATCCTTATTTTCCACCTACCCTATCTCTTTTAGCTCCTCCCTCCAATTGTTTTGAAGGACAGTCTAGATATCATATCATTTCATTTGAAAATATTTTGGGATTTTTCTTTAAAGGACAAGAATTCTTTATCTTACTCTTAGCAACAACATATACACAATGCACTATATAGAAAATGTTAAGCTTATGTGTATAGATTTTTTAAAAATTTTGTATTCCCATGTGTCTTGGTTTTCTAGTGCTGTTGTAACAGAAATACTACAAGTGGGAGGCTTTGATGAACAGAAGTCTTTTCTCACAGTTTAGGAGGCTGAAAGTTTACAGTACTGTCTCTAGGGGAAGACTCAGTCTGTTAATTCTGAGGCAAAACTCTGAGATTTCTTGGCTGTCTCTGCATTGCATCTGTATTTCTCCCATTTGTGCATGCTTCTCTCTAAGCCTACATTTGCTCTTTTTATAGCGCGAAACTGATTAGGTTTAAGACATACTTTACACTGATATGGCTTCTGCAATATAACCTTCTGTAATAACGCCTTTTCTAATGAGATTACGTCCACAGGGATAAAAATGGTATTGAAAATAAAAACACTCCCCCTCCCCACTATTGCAGTTCAGTAAATTTTAATTCATCTTGACCCTTCCAGACAGAAAACTGCCTCATGGCATTTTCAAGTCTGTAATCTTTATGGGCTGCAAGACTAGAAGTACTCACTCCTTTATGCCAAGAAATTTGGAAGGCAGTTACTGACTGAAAGTGATCCATATTTGTGCCCTTTCCAATGAAAAGTGATCAAGCCAAATTTAGAAATTATTGAGTTGTATTATTAATATCACATAGAAGCAAAGTTTTGCTGGAAGTAATTAAAAAAAATCTGAAGCAGTACAGAAACAGGGAACTTCTAGAAATCCAAGCGAGATTCAGAAGGGATTTTGTTGCTGATGTCAAATGGATCTTGGCTAAAAACAGCAAATACCGGAAAGCCATTTATATGTATTTTATTAAGTATGTGAAAGCATGTGGAACTTGCATTTAGACCAAAAGGTGATCATCTGAATAGAACAGGGAATACTGCATGATTTAAAATCAGGATGGTAGCGTTTTAGTATATACTTATTCAATCTGTATGCTGAGCAAATAATACAGGACGCTTGACTGTATAATGAGAACTTGACATCAGGATTGGAAAAACATTCTTTTAACAACTTGTGATATATAGATGACACCCAACTTTGCTTACTGAAAACAAAGATGACTTGAAGCACATATTGATGAAAATCAAAGACTATAGCTTTCAGTATGCGTTACACATCACTGTCAAGAAAACAATATTCTACACAACTGGCCCAATAAGTAATATCATGATATATGGAGAAAATACTGACGTTATTAAGAATATAGTATAAGGTAAGTCCTATAAGCACACCAAAAAGGCTACACTTATGCTAGGCTAGCTGAGTTCTTACTAGACTGACTTTTCTAGTTTCTCTTCAGAATGCTGATACTTCCCCTTATTGTGTTGATCTGTGCTTGCAGAACTAGGTACAGGTCAAGCAAGTGGTGGTTTTTTCCTTAGATTTAGCAGTGTGTATTGTTAGCATTTTCTATCCGTCTATGTAATACCTAACTTCACTATATATTGTGAATTGCTTATATAAGTGGATAAAACATAGTTAGCCCCTTTCTTCTATTCTTAGTGGAATTGTCTTTCTGATTTGCCACAAGTGGACCCTTGTAGTATTGCTCTCCTAGTTAATAAATGTTCCTTTTCCAATAAACTAGAGGGGGGTGAGTGGGAGGTGTTTTCAATGAATATATCATTGAAGAGACAAAATCCAATCATTTAACTTCCAGTTTTGTTTATCTCCCCAAGTCCATAATTTCTAACTACCAATTCTTCTACTTTGTTTCCAACTTTTGCATTCCAGTCCCCAATTATTATTAGGGTATTGGTGGACGATCTATCAACAATCTGCGTTATGCAGATGACACAACCCTGCTCGCTGAAACTGAGGAGGACCTCATGCACTTACTGCAGAGGGTCAAGGACTGCAGCCTTCAATATGGACTGAGGCTCAATGTCCAGAAGACAAAAATTCTCACTACTGGACCAATCGGTAGCATCAGGATGGATGGTGAAGAGATTGAGATTGTTCACAGCTTCAGTTTGCTCGGCTCCAAGGTCAACACTCTTGGCACCAGTAGCCAGGAAATAAAAAAACGTATTGCGATGGGAAAGTCTGCGGTTAGGGACCTCTCTAAAGTACTCAAGAGCAACGGTGTCTCTCTGGAGACTAAGGTGCGCCTGATACAGGCCATGGTTTTTGCAATCACTTGTTATGCATCAGAGAGTTGGACAATGACTAGGGAGGCTAGAAGGAGAATTGATGCCTTTGAGCTGTGGTACTGGAGAAGAGTACTGAATGTACCATGGACTGCCAAGAAAACAAATAGATTCATCCTAGAGAGGGTTAAACCAGGCTGCTCCTTGGAGGCAAGGATTCTGGGGCTTCGCCTGACATACTTTGGACATGTTGTAAGGAGAGACAAGTCTTTGGAGAGGGACATCATGCTGGGCAGAGTGGAGGGACAGCGCAGGAGGGGAAGACCCTCTATGAGGTGGATTGATTCAGTGACTGGGGTAATCAGGATGGATGTGTCAGAGGCAGTGAGATTGGCACAGGATAGAGCAGGGTTTAGGGCTGTTGTACATAGGGTCGCTATGAGTCACAAGCGACTCGACGGCACATAACAACAACAACAACATCTTGACTACATGTTTGGTCAATTTCGGACTGCAAAATTTGGTAGACTTCTTCAATTTCCTTTTCCAGGTAGTGCTGGTATCAGGCAGTCCAGAGATCAGAAGATGCATAGCTTTGGAAAAGGCTGTTGTCAGGGATCCCTCCAAAGTCCTGAAGAGCAATGATGTCAGTTTAAAGAGTAAGGTGCACCTGGTTCAAGCTACAGTCTTTCCAATCACTTGCTATGCATCTGATACAATGAATAATTGGACAATGAATAAAGGTGATGGGAGAAAAATTGATGCATTTGAGTTGTGGTGTTGGAGAAGAGTGCTGACTATTCCATGCATTGCAAAAAGAACAGACAACAAGAGTGTTCTTTGGAGACCAAGTTGATAAAGCTTCATCTCACACACTTTGGACATCTTGTTAGGAGAGGCTATTCCTTGGAAAAAGACATCATACTTGGAAAGGCAGAGGGTCAACGAAGGAGAAGAAGGGCCTCAATAAGGTGGATTCATACATTTTCTGCAGCAATGGATTAAAATGTGTCAAGGATAAGGATGGCATAGGACAGGGCAGAGTTCAGATCTGTTGTTCATAGAGTTGATGAGTTGTATGGGACTCAATGACATTCAGCAACAACAACAACAACAAACACAACAACCTGAAGATAATGTCTTTTATTCTGTCTCAGTGTTTTTTGGTCTCTCTGCAAACATGGACCTTGAGGAAGTTTCCCTCTAGGGCACAAATTCCAACACTTAGATCCACAATCAGTGCCCATGGAAACAATAGCCAAGCAATAT